ACCGGGGCACGAACCCGTGTCCCCTGCATCGGTAGGCGGACTCTCAACCACTGCGCCACCAGGGAAGCCCCCCTACCATATTTTTAAAAACCCAATCTGTTGATTTATTCCATAGTCCCTTTTGTAAACAAAAATTTTTTGTTTTCTGAAAGTATTTTCTGAGTTGTAATCATTTGGTTTTAACCTCAGTATTAATGATATATAACTCCTCTTTGGTAGAATCCTGGATTATCTATGCTGAAAGGAAGAATTAATAGTAGGTTTAATGAGAGAAATTTTATTATTGTCTTTAAGCATTTGATTATTGTGCCCAGTTAAAAAAAATAGATTCACAGTGCTAATGGTTGTTTAGTTTATAGAGTAGCATAAGGTAAATAATTGTATTTACTTTACAAGAATTAAAGAATGACATACTATCTTTATGATGTTATTGTTAGGTATATAATGTGATTTTTTTTAACAAGATTTTTATGACAGAATTTCTATAATTGTTCTAAAATATGAAGTTCCCTAAACATTTTTCCTTGTGTATAGTGAATTGTTAACACATTTAATTGTAATGTCAGAAGTTTGAATTCCTTACTGTAAGTCATGGTGTTATAAAACTTATGTGTTAGAATTATTGTTTTTATTTTTTTAATAAGAAATATTACATGGTCAGAAAAAATGTATTTAGATTTTTAACTTTACTTTTCTCAGATAACAATTCTTAAAGCATTGTACTTTTTTCTGCAGATTGATCAGACTGCCGACGCAAGTTTTTTGGGCTGGGTTATTGCTTCTTTTAGCCTTGGCCAAATGGTAGCTTCGCCTATATTTGGTTTGTGGTCTAACTATCGACCAAGAAAAGAACCTCTTACTGTTTCCATTTTCATTTCGGTGGCAGCCAACTGCCTGTATGCGTATGTCCAGGTTCCAGCTTCTCATAATAAATACTACATGTTGGTTGCTCGTGGATTGGTGGGATTTGGAGCAGGTAATATGCATGCATGTATATTTTTGGTTGTGTTGGACTCACATTCATCCTGACATTTATGGCCTTCTCTCATCTAGGGTCACCTCTTCTCAATCTCCTATACGACATTCAACATACAGATGTCTCATTGCAAATATCTTTCCTATCATTTTGCCTTTGCTCATGATGTTCCTATTACCTATAGTTTCTCTCTTCTGTTCCCATGATTCTTCATCCTTCAAGATTCAGTTCAAGTTCCACCTCTTCCATGAAGCTTTCTTATGCTACACTACCGCTTCTCCAACATGTCTCTGGCATTTGCTTATATACTGTTTTGCACTGTTTTTACCTCTTATCACCAACTAGCTAGTAAACTTAGTGTAATTAGAGACAATCTATGACTTTTGAAAATATTCTCTAGCCCCTAGCAGAGTCTCTTCAACATAAATGCTCAGCAAATTTTTTTGACTCAAATTTTTAGGATTTTTTTAAAAAACATGCAGAGTGTGTACCATATTTCTTTTAAAACAGTGTAGCAATTAGTAGTACTCCATCCACTCAATGCTTTCTCTGTATTTAATGATGAAAAAAGTTTGTTTCCTGTATGCCATTTTTTCATTCATTCACATCTTTAACTGTGTTTTCATATTACTAAAAGTAATATTTTCCATTAATTGATACATTTGTTCACTATACATGCCTTGTATAATCATAAAGAGGAAGCAGTAACTATGTTGTAGGTTAATATTTCTTCTTCTGTATAGAGCCAAATTAAGTCGAATTTTTATAAACTGGAGAATATTTTCTTTTACTTTGTATTATTGTGTCTTTTCTTAGGAAATGTAGCTGTTATTAGATCATATATTGCTGGTGCTACCTCTCTTCAGGAAAGAACAAGTTCCATGGCAAACACAAGTGCATGTCAAGCATTAGGTTTTATTCTAGGTCCAGGTAGGTGTTCTTCACTTATCATCACTTGGATTTGAATTGGGAAAACTTTTGAGGTTCAAATGTTAGATGCAATTCAAGTATGAAACCTCATAGCTGAAGGCAAAGGGAGGGAAACTGATATTTTTTGATCTAGCAGTGAGGCTAGGCTCTTTATATGTGTTAACTCATGTTCCCTAAATTAAATGTCATTAGTCCCACTGTACAGATTAGGACACCAAGGCATAGAGAATCTAAGTAACTTATCCAGGGTCACCCTGATATTAAATGGGAAATATGAGATTCAAACCTCACTGTCTGATTCCAAAGTATACGTTCTGTCAGATAATCATTTAGCTTGACATCTCAGCAAGAGTTTGCTTTTTTTTTCTTGTTTACGCGAAACAAAATTCTTTTAATTGAAGGATTTGAGGAAAGTTATAGGAGGTTTTTTCCCCTTTTTGCCCATACCTTTAAGACTTTTCTAAGGTTGAAGAAAATGAAAGTTTAAAAAAGATTTACTAGTCTCTTCTTCTTTCCAAGCTTTCATAGTTTAATGAATATAAAAATATATTAATGAGATTTAATATTTCCCTAAGGCCAATTAATTTTCTGCTAAATGAGTAGAGAAATTAATTTTTTATGCCTAGCATAACTTTGAAAAGCCATATAATTGGCCCATGCTTTTAATATTGCAGTTATCAATAGCATCAATTTGAATCTAGCTCAGTTTACTTCATCATTAACACCCCAACCTCCAGTTTCCATTACTTCGCTTCAACAGAAGAAAGCCTAATTCATCATTCACCAAAATCTAGTATTTTAGTTCAGTGTTCTGGAATAAGATATAAGCAGAAATCTAGAACAGTTGAACCTATTACCTTACTGTATACATGAGGGCATAGTCTGGGTCTTTTTAAACTTACCACTCTACCCTCAGTTTCTAGCACAGTACCTGGTATAGGCTTAGGTTCTCAGTAAATATTCTGGCCATCTATTTTAAAGATTATTCACGGGGCTTTCCTGGTGGTGCAGTGGTTAAGAATCTGCCTGCCAATGCAGGGGACACAGGTTTGAGCCCTGGTCTGGGAAGATCCCACATGCTGCAGAGCAACTAAGCCCGTGTGCTACAACTACTGAAGCCTGCGCCCCTGGAGCCCGTGCTCCTCAACAAGAGAAGCCACCGCAATGAGAAGCCCGCTGGCAGCAATGAAGACCCAATGCAGCCAAAAATAAATAGTAAATAAAATTTTTTAAAACAGATTATTCACTAAAACATTTTATATTAAAGATGAGTAAATGTAGGCCTGAAAAGATTAGATGACTTTTCCAATAATAACCACATCAATAAGCACAAACATTTATTGACTGCTTAACCATATGCTAGATGCTGTTCTAAGTGCTTTAGGTGCAGTATTTTACTTAATCCTCACCCTAAGGTTACATGTAAAGTCCTGGCAGAACGAGATATAGAATCTAAACCAGGAGAGCAAACCAATACTTACCCATCTGATTTTTGCCACAGATCCAAATTGAAAGTGGTATTAAATATATATAATTTAAGTACCATATACACAGTAATATTTTAAAATATTGAGTTAAAATGTGACAGTTTCAGGCTACCCTGGTGGCGCAGTGGTTGAGAGTCCGCCTGCCAATGCAGGGGACGCGGGTTCGTGCCCCGGTCCGGGAAGATCCCACATGCTGCGGAGCGGCTGGGCCCGGGAGCCATGGCCGCTGAGCCTGCGCATCCGGAGCCTGTGCTCTGCAATGGGAGAGGCCACAGCAGTGAGAGGCTCGCGTGCCGCAAAAAAAAAAAAAAAAAAAAAAAAGTGACACTTTCTTATAATGAAATTGGTTAAACTTTAATAATTTACTTATGGAAGAAATTGTATAACTTAAATTTCATACAGAGATGTATTTTAAAAAAAGAAAATACTGACAAGTTATGTATAATCCCTTGTGAATGCCTGTACATCAGTGCTTCTCACCCATTTTTAATGTTATTGTCTCCCTAAGGAGGCTTTTTAGACATTTCTTTCCTAATCACTCCATCCCATGAAATTTTAATACCACAGACCTATATTGTATGTGTTTTATGTACTGTATGCATATCTGTGCTTTATACAGAAAAAGAGTAAATGTTTTGCCTCTCCCCACCAAGAACCAATTTTCTTGCCCCTGTTGAGATGTCTGATGCAGATGGATGATTCCATATATTACTTCCAATTCTATGGTAAATATTTCTCACATTTATTTTAGACTGTGCCTCCCATATAATAATTAATCTGTATACATTTTATTTTAATAAGTTTTTCAGACTTGTTTTGCACTCATTGGAGAAAAGGGCGTGACATGGGATACCATTAAGCTGCAGATAAACATGTACACAGCACCAGTTTTACTTGGCGCCTTCCTGGGAATTTTAAATATTATTCTGATTCTTACTGTATTAAGGTAATTAGATAGAAATGATAAAACTACTCTTGTAGATTGTGAAATTAAATAAGCATTATCATTGTTGGAGAATTATTATTTCTATGATGTCTTTATTTGGTTTTTGATGTCTAGTTGTGTTCATATTTTCTTATCAGCTAATGCATGTGGTACTGACAACTAAAATAATAGATGATGAATAAGAACAGATTATAAGGTCTTTAAAGATTCAAGGTTTGGTCTTGGTCTACTAATGATAGATTTCTAAGTAGGGGAAATGGCATGAAAGCAACATTTTAAGTAGATTAATGATTAGGTTCAACCTTAGATACAAAAGTTACTCATAATGTGTATCTCTTACACATTTTTATATATTAGAAAAAATTTTATAAAACTATAGAATTTTGTTACTTTATATTTCTTTGGAGTGTTTTATCCAAGAGTCCAAAATCTTTATAACCCATGTTAAAAATCATTGGAAAATTTCAAATACTGATTAAGGCAACTCATGTGTGCTTTTGGATGAATTGAGGTTTTTTTTCATTTTATATGATAATATAATAATAATTGTAACTTGTATTTTAAAAATTTTATCGGTTATATATCATAATAATTTCATTACTCAGAAGACAGTGAAAGAAACTATACCAGAATGTGAAAAAATAGAAAGCTAGTAATAAATTTAAACTATTATCTATTATACTAAGCCTTTCATGGATACAATATTTATGTTTTTCTTTTAAGAGAACATCGTGTGGATGACACAGGACGACAGTGTAAAAATATTAATTTTGAAGAAGGTACTATTAACCTGTTTGACGAAATTACTATAATATTACAAAGTGTTTCTAATGATTCTGCCTCTTTGATATTCACTTGAATTTTGTCTCTGAGGACAGTACAATGGGTAATTGGGGAAGATCTTCAAAGTTGAAAGTTAGCTAAGTTGATTTTTTTTAAAGGCATGCCTATATCAGTGACTTGGTGTGCACAATTGGTAAGGTTAAAACCATTGCTAAAAATCACTTCATCTAGTTTTCAAAAAGCCAATATCCTAAAATCCTTGAGATCTTTGAAATGATTTCAGTATTATTGCTACCAAATGTATCTTTCTGTTTCAAGTATTTCTTTATTCACTTAATCATGGGAATAAGTGTGGTTTCTCTTTTGTATTTTTATTCTTATACTCTACAAATACACATTTTCATCCTTCATATCTTTCTCTGACTCATAAATAGGTACCCAGTCTGGTAAGTAGGTATATTTTACTAAATAAACCATTATTTAAGTACTCCTAGTTATGTCCTCCTTGGGGATTGTCCCCCATGCAAAAGAATGCAATTTAGTCCTTGTCCTCAAGGAGTTTATAAAGTTTTGGAAAAGACACTGTTATTTTACCAAGTTCTTTGATAGACATTTTATTTAATTTTTACAACAAAACTGGTGGAAGGTAAAGTTAAAAGTAGTTGGGTAGAGAGCAGAGTGGTGAGGAGCTATGGAAAATTTTGAACAAAGGAGAAGTATGACGATAGTCAGATTGCAAGTGAGGCTAATCCAGATATGTAAAGGCCTGAACTACAGCAGTAAATGTGAATGGAGAAGGGATGAGATATGAGCTTTTGAAGAAAAAAAAAAAAAGATGCTGACAGGTTGGATAGGGAATATTAAGGAATGGAGGGGGTTGTTGAAGATGTCTGCTGGGTTTTGATTCTAGATAATTGAAAGAATGAGAGGAGGAGAATTTAAGAAGGGACACTGGCTGAAAAGATAAGGTGATTTCAATTTGGTTCAAACCAAATATAATGCTACCCTAGAAAAACTAAAAAATTCCAGAGGCATCTGTAATTCTGGCAGTAGAGATCAAAGCTAGAGATAGAAATTTGGGAATCATCTAGTGAAAAACACTACAGCAACAAAGAGAGAGTGAGAGAAAGGAGGAAAGGAAGGGGTAGGTGAATCAAGTGTGACAAAATATTGTTGAATCTAGGGCATAAATGGATAAGGATGTGTTTGAAAGTTTTCAAAATAAAAAGAAAGAAAAAAAGAAACAATGAGTGGTGAGGAAGTGCCGGCAGTGGGTTTAAGCTACTGTTTTAAAAAGGTGTAAGATAGGATGCTAACTTAAAGGACCTATCTCTCTACCTCTTTAAAGGTAAAGAGAATGAGCAAGTTAAAGAGGGTGAGGTTGAGGGGCTGAGAAAGGGAAGATACACAAGAAATCTTTCATAAGTTGAAGGGGATAACCATATTGATCCTTGCTTTATTGACTTTAATACCCTTAGAAAGCACCTGGGAACCTTGTTAAAATGCAGAGTCTGTTTCAGTAGGCCTGGGGAGGGAGAATCTACATTTATAACAAGCTCACATGGGAACTGATGCTGCTGGTCTATGAACCACACTTTGGGTAGCAAAGACATACAGCTACATTGTCCAATGTGGTAGCCACTAGTCATATTTGGCTGTTTAAACTTAATTACATTTAAGAAATTCCTCATTCTCACTATCTCACTAGCTACATTTTTTTTTTTTTTGGCTGTTTGGCATGGCTTGCAGGATCTTAGTTCCCTAACCAGGGATTGAACCTGGGCCACATCCGTGAAAGCGCCGAGTCCTAGCCACTGGACCTTCAGGGAACTCCCACACTAGCTACATGTCAAGTGCTTAGTTAATGGGTATATGTGACTAACAGCCAGCTGTACTGGACAGTAGAGAGAAAGAACATTTCCATCATGTCAGAGCTCTATTGGACAACACTGCTCTAAAGCACAAATCAGAGTTTAAAAAGGAGAGATCTATTTTCTTTCATAAGATTTCTAGGTCCTTCAAAATAATTTTTATAAAAGAAAGATCATTTTTAAATTTCAATAAATGTTTAGATAAAACATATCAAGTTGTTCCTATTATTAAAAGTGTTATCATGGGATAGGATTTAATTTCCAATTACACAGTTTTTTAATCAATATGTAGTGTTTTCTTAAAATTCTTATAATAAGGATACCTAGTCAGTTCCCACAGTTTAGGATGCAACGTTTCTGAGTCTCCCCACTAAAACTAGCACTGGTTGGAGGCTGCAGAAAACTAAACATATATGAAGTAAACTCCAGTCTAACTTGGGGCAATGTTGATATTTGATTCAAAGGAGTAAAGACTGGCTTCTAGATGGTGATTGAGAATCAGGGAGGTCTATCCAAAATAATTCAAGGCCCACAGGGACCAGAGTCTACCCCAGAAAAGGAACTGGACAAAGGTGTGACTGGTTTTCTTTGTGTGAAATGGAGGTCATAACCCTATGTCGAGTGTCCAAGGTGCTTAATTGCCCCCAAGTATAGCAGACTATTTTCAAATCTCACTTATTATTGGAGGAAGAACTCCTCCTCAGGAATCCTGAGATATAAAGGCAGGCACTATTATGAAAAAATTATAGAAATTTATTGTGTCTTAGGAAAATCACCCCCTGCCCCCACTTCTGCCACACATACACTTAAAGATAACATAAATACATTCTTGTATTACTTACCTGGTTTACTCTGAATATGCGGGTAAATTATAAAGTAGCATGATGGATGTGTATACATACATGTATCAATATATGGCTTCACATTTCTCAATTACATCAGATATAGCTTATATTGAGTGTGTTACTTAACTATATAGTTCAAGATAAGTGAACATCTTAACTCATTTGCCTTCCTAATTTATAAAACCACCATCAAATCTTGGTAGTTCTTTGCAAAAAATATAAATGATAACGTAAGAACTTGAAAAAAATTGTGGTTAAAAAATAAGGATATTTACTAATAGTAATACTACATACTGTTGAAATTCAAAATATATATCCATTGAGGTGAATCATAGAACTGAGAACTTATTTAGTAAACTATTTGAGGTCTTCATGAAATCCGTGTAACTTTAAAATTTAGGTAAAGTAGAAAAAAATCTGCAACTGAAATTTAAAGCAAATTTAGTATTTAGTATGAGATCATTTTATAGAATTCTATGGACATACATTTCTGTTTTTGATTGAGAGACGCCAAATAGAAAATCTGAGTATTTCCTGTAGGTAACAGAATTGAAGTGTATGTCCTGGGAAGAAAATTCACTTTAATTTTAAATGCCATTTAAAAGTTATTTCTGTTATGTAAATTGTTAACTTTTAAATTGCTTTGAAAACCTAAAAAAATGATTTTAAATGTTTAGTCATTGAATTTGCTACATATAATTTTACACTGTTTTAGTGTCATAAGAAAAATTAGTTGTGTAGGTAATATAATTTTTCTTCTGTTTACTACAGCAAGTACAGATGAAGTTCAGGTCCCCCAAGGAAATATTGATCAAGTTGCTGTTGTGGCCACCAATGTTCTGTTTTTTGTGATTCTGTTTATCTTTGCCCTTTTTGAAACGTAAGTTTTTTTCTGTTTTCATCTAAATCTGATTGTGTAAATAACCTTTTCTTAATGCAATATTAATCAGGAATATAGATGTTCTCAAAAACCTTATGTAAGGCATATTTTTCTTATCATGATGTAAAAAACATATATACATTTTTTGCCTTTAACTTGAATGTAGTTAATTCTCTGCCTGTAATCTTACTGCCTTGTCTTCCTTCCTTATAAGGGAGTCTGTTTCACTAGTCTTTCTCCCTTTCCTCTGAGTTTTATGATAAATATACCTATAAAACTTTGTGTATTAATGTAATTTACTTTAAGCTATATAGCTCCCTACATATGTATGTTGGGTTCAGTCGAGAAATTTTAACTCGTTTAAGCCCTGATCCTGATAAAACTTAGTATATTGCAGAATCTCTGCCTTGTGTAGGCTTTGTTGACCATTAGTTATCATATGGCTTTTTTTGTTTTTTAAATGGAGTATAGTTGCTTTACAGTATTGTGTTAGTTTTTGCTGTACAATGAAGTGAATCAGCTATATGTATACATACATCCCCTCCCTCTGGGGCTTCCCTCCCACTTCCCCCACGATCCCACCCACTTAGATCATCACAGAGCATTGAGCTGAGCTCCCTGTGCTATATACAGCAGGTTCCACTAGCTATCTATTTTACACATGGTAGCGTATATATGTCAATCCTAATCTCCCAATTCATCCCACCCTCCCCTTCCCCACCGTGTCCACATATCCATTCTCTACATCTGTGTCTCGATTCCTGCCCTGAAAATAGGTTCATCTGTACCATTTTTCTATATTCCACATATATGCGTTAATATACGATATTTGTTTTTACCTTTCTGACTTACTTTACTCTGTATGACATACTCTAGGTCCATCCACATCTCTACAAATGACCCAATTTTTTATGGCTAATATTCCATTGTGTATATGTATCACATCTTCTTTATCCTTTCATCTGTTGATGGGCATTTAGGTTGTTGCCATGTCCTGGCTATTGTAAATAGTGCTGCAGTGAACACTGGGGTACATGTGTCTCTTTGAATTATGGTTTTCTCCAGATATATGCCCAGGATTGGGACTGCAGTGTCATATGGTAGCTCTATTTTTAGTTTTTTAATGAACGTCCATACTGTTCTCCATAGTGGCTGTATCAATTTACATTCCCACCAACAGTGCAAGAGGGTTCCCTTTTCTCCACACCCTCTCCAGCATTTATTGTTTGTAGATTTTTTGATGATGGCCATTCTGACCAGTGTGAGGTGATACCTCATTGTAGTTTTGATATGCATTTCTCTAATGATTAGTGATGTTGAGCATCTTTTCAAGTGCCTCTTGGCCATCTGTATGTCTTCTTTGGAGAAATGTCTATTTAGATCTTCTTCCCATTTTTTTTTTTTTGCTGTACATGGGCCTCTGACTGTTGTGGCCTCTCCTGTTGCGGAGAACAGGCTCCGGACGTGCAGGCTTAGTGGCCATGGCTCACAGGCCTAGCTGCTCCGTGGCATGTGGGATCTTCCCGGACTGGGGCATGAACCCGTGTCCCCTGCATCGGCAGGCGGACCCTCAACCACTGCGCCACCAGGGAAGCCCCTTCTTCCCATTTTTTGATTGGGTTGTTTTTTTTTTTTGATATTGAGCTGCATGAGCTGTTTGTATATTTTGGAGACTAATCCCTTGTTGGTCCTCACTTTGTTTGCAAATATTTTCTCCCATTCCGTGGGCTGTCTTTTCATTTTGTTTATGGTTTCCTTTGCTGTGCAAAACCTTTTAAATTTAATTAGGTCTCATTTGTTTATTTTTGTTTTTACTTTCATTACTCTAAGAGGTGGATCCAAAAAGATATTGCTGTGATTATGTCAGAGAGTGTTCTGTCTATGTTTTCCTCTAAGAATTTTATAGTGTCTGGTCTTATATTTAGGTTTTTAATCCATTTTGAGTTTATTTTTGTGTATAGTGTCAGAGAATGTTCTAATTTTGTTCTTTTACTTATAGAGGTCCCATTTACCCAGCACCACTTATTGAAGAGACTGTCTTTTAACCCTTGTATATTCTTGCCTCATTTGTCATAGATAGGTGACCATAGGTGTGTGGGTTTATCACTGGGCTTTCCCTCTTGTTGCATTGATCTATACTTCTGTTCTTATGCCAGTACCATACTGTCTTGATTACTGTAGCGTTGTAGTATAGTCTGAAGTCAGGGAGCCTGATTCCTCCAGCTCCATTTTTCTTTCTCAAGATTGCTTTGGCTATTCGGGGTCTTTTATGTTTCCATATAAATTGTAAATTTTTTTGTTCTAATTCTGTGAAAAATGCCATTGGTAATTTGATAGGGAATGTGTTGAATCTGTAGATTGCTTTGGGTAGTATAGTCATTTTTACAGTGTTGATTTTTCACATCCAAGAACATGGTATATCTCTCCATCTGTTGTGTCATCTTTGGTTTCTTTCATCAATGTTTTATAGTTTTCTGAGTACAGGTCTTTTGCCTCCTTAGGTAGGTTGATTCCTAGGTATCTTATTCTTTTTTGTTGCAATGGTAAATGAGATTGTTTCCTTAATTTCTCTTTCTGATTTTTCGTTCTTAGTGTATAGGAATGTAAGAGATTTCTCTGCTTTAATTTTTATCTTGCAACTTTACCAAATTCATTGATTAGCTCTAGTAGTTTTCTGGTGGAATCTTTAGGATTACCTATGTATATAGTATCATGTCATCTGCAAATGGTGACAGTTTTACTTCTTTTCCAATTTGTATTGCTTTTATTTCTTTTTGTTCTCTGATTGCCATGGCTAGGACTTCCAAAACTATGATGAATAATAGTGGTGAGAGTGGACATCCTTGTCTTGTTCCTGATCTTAGAGGAAATGCTTTGTTTTTCACCATTGAGAATGATGTTTGCTGTGGGTTTGTCGTATATGGCCTTTATTATGTTGAGGTAGATTCCCTCTATGCCCACTTTCTGGAGAGTTTTTATCATAAATGGGTGTTGAATTTTGTCAAAAGCTTTTTCTTCATCTATTGAGATATGATCATATGGTTTTTATTCTTTAATTTGTTAATACGGTGTATCACATTGATTGATTTCATATATTGAAGAATCCTTGTATCCCTGGGATAAATCCCACTTGATCATGGTGTGTGATCCTTTTAATGTGTTGTTGGTTTCTGTTTGCTAGAATTTTGTTTAGGAATTTTGCGTCTATGCTCATCAGTGATATTGGTCTGTAATTTTCTTTTTTTGTGTTATCTTTGTCTGATTTTGGTATCAGGGTGATTGTGGCCTTGTAGAACGAGTTTGGGAGTGTTCCTTCCTCTGCGATTTTTTGGAAGAGTTTGAGAAGGATAGGTGTTAGCTCTTCTCTAAATGTTTGATAGAATTTGCCTGTGAAGCCATCTGGTTCTGGACTTTTATTTGCTGCAAGCTTTATAATTACAGTTTGAATTTCATTACTTGTGATTCATTTGTTTATATATTTTAATTCTTCTTGAATCAGTCTTGGAATGTTGTACCTTTCTATGAATTTGTCCATTTCTTCCAGGGTGTCCATTTTATTGGCATATAGTTGCTTGAAGTAGTCTCTTCTGGGCCATTGTATTTCTGTGGTGTCAGTTGTAATTTCTCCTTTTTCATTTCTAATGTTACTGATTTGAATACTCTCCCTTTTTTCTTGATGAGTCTGGCTAAAGGTTTATCAATTTTGTTTATCTTCTCAAAGAACCAACTTTTAGTTTTATTGATCTTTGCTATTGTTTTCTTCATTTCTATTTCATTTATTTCTATTCTGATCTTTATGATTTCTTTCTTTCTACTAACTTTGGTGTTTTTTGTTCTTCTTTCTCTAGTTGCTTTACGTGTAAGTTTAGATTGTGTATTTGAGCTTTTTCTTTTTTCCTGAGGTGAGATTGAATTACTATAAACTTCCCTCTTAGACCTGCATTTGCTGCATCCCATGAGTTTTGGGTTGTCGTGTTTTCATTGTCATTTGTTTCTATGTATTTTTTAAAATTTCCTCTTTGATTTCTTCAGTGATCTCTTGGTTATTTAGTAGTGTATTGTTTAGCCTCCATGTGTTTGTGTTCTTTACAGTTTTTTTCCTGTAATTGATTTCTAATCACATAGCGTTGTGGTTGGAAAAGATGCTTGATATGATTTCAGTTTTCTTAAATTTTCCAAGGCTTGATTTGTGATCCAAGATGTGATCTATCCTGGAGAATGTTCCATGTGCGCTTGAGAAGAAAGTGTATTCTGCCGCTTTCGGGTGGACTGTCCTATAAATATCAATGAAATCTTTCTGGTCTGTTGTGTCATTTAAAGCTTGTATTTCCTTATTTATTTTCTGTCTGGATGATCTGTCCATTGGTGTAAGTGGGGTGATAAAGTCACCCACTATTATTGTGTTACTGTCGATTTCCCCTTTTATGGCTGTTAGCATTTGCCTTATGTATTGAGGTGCTCCTATGCTGGGTGCATAAATATTTATAATTGTTATATCCTCTTCTTGGATTGATCCATTGATCATTATGTAGTGTCCTTCCTTATCTCTTTTAACAGTCTTTATTTTAAAGTCTATTGTATCTGATATGAGTATTGCTACTCCAGCTTTCTTTTGATTTCCATTTGCATGGCACATCTTTTTCTATCTCCTCACTTTCAGTCTGTATGTGTTGCTAGGTCTGAAGTGGGTCTCCTCTTTTTTATTATTTTAATTAATTAATTTATTTTTGGCTGTGTTGGGTCTTTGTTGCTGCGCGTGGGCTTTCTCTAATTGTGGCGAGCAGGGGCTCTTCTTTGTTGTGGTGCATGGGCTTCTCATTGCAGTGGTTTCTCTTGTTGTGGAGCACAGGCTCTAGGCACACAGGCCTCAGTAGTTGTGGCATGCGGGCTCCGTAGTTGTGGCTCACGGGCTTAGTTGCTTAGCAGCATGTGGGATCTTCCCAGACCAGGGATCGATCCCCTGTCCCCTGTGTTGGCAGGCAGATTCTTAACCATTGTGCCACCAGGAAAATCCCTGAAGTGGGCCTCTTGTAGACAGCTTATACATGGGTCTTGTTTTTGTATCCATTCAGCCAGTCTTTGTCTTTTGGTTGGAGCATTTAATCCATTTACATTCAAGGTAATTATCGATATGTATGCTCCTATTACCATTTTCTTAATTGTTTTGGGTTTGTTTTTGTGGGTCTTTTTCTTCTCTTGTGTTTCCCTCCTAGAGAAGTTTCTTTAGCATTTGTTGTAAAGCTGGTTTGGTGGTGCTGAATTCTCTTAGCTTTTGCTTGTCTGTAAAGCTTTTGATTTCTCTGTTGAATCTGAATGAGATCCTTGCTGGGTAGAGTAATCTTGGTTGTAAGTTTTTCCCTTTCATCACTTTAAATATATCCTGCCACTCCCTTCTGTCCTGCAGTGCCCTACTTATATATGTTGGGTTCAGTCTAGAAATTTTAACTCTGTTTAAGCCCTGATCCTGAAGAAAGCTAGTATATTACAAAATCTCTAACTCATGTAGGCTTTGTTGACTATTAGTTACCATATGGCTTTTTAAAATATATATTTATTTATTTTTAAAAATATTTATTTATTTAGTTTGGCTGTGCTGGGTCTTAGTTGCAGCATGTGGGATCTTTTTAGATGCAGCATGCAGACTTCTTAGTTGCGACATGTGCACTCTTAGTTGCAGCATGCGAACTCTTAAAAGTTGCAGCATGCATGCGGGATCTAGTTCCCTAACCAGGGATTGAACCCGGGCCCCCTGCTTTGGGTATGCAGAGTTCTACCCACTGGACCACCAGGGACGTCCCTTGTCATATGGCTTTTTAATTTTTAAAATACCTTTCCATTATTAAAATAGTATATTCTTGTAAACATTCCAAACACTACAACTGTATTTCCACATCCACTTCTTTCCCTGGAGGTAACCACTGCTAATACTTCAGTGTGTGTTGTTTTGAAACATTTTTTTCTATGCAACTGTAAGTATTAAGGGGTGTGTGTGTGTGTGTGTGTGTGTGTGTGTGTGTGTGTGTGTCTTTAAACCAACAAGAATATGGATATTATCATTTGACAACTGGGTTTTTTCACTTTTTGATATATTGTAACATTTTTATGCCAGTACATTTTATACCAGATATACTTGATTTTTTTTTTTAATTATTGAGATACATGGAATTTTTAGCTCATCTGATTTGGGGGGTATTTATTTTATTATGGTAAATATACATAACATAAACTTACTATTTTAACTTCTTTTTTCAATTTAAAGGATATAATTTATTCTCTTGTATATTTATTTCCCATTTTTGAACCATGTTATTGGACGTCTATTAAACTTGTAGTCTGCTATGATTCTTAGAGCTTTTCTGCCATATTTTCTTTTGTTTTTATTGAGGCCAGATTTGTATATAATAATGTATTTGTTTCAGGTGTACCATTTTAATTACTTTTAATTGCACAATTCAGTGGCATTAAATACATTCACAGTGTTGTGCAACCATCACCACCACCTGTTTCAAGAACCTTTTTATCATCCCAAACAGAAGTGCTACACCCGTTTATCACTAAGTCCCATTCCCCCACACCCAGCCCCTGGTTTCCTCTATTCACCTTTCTTTCTTTATGAATTTGCCTATTTTAGGTTCTTCATATGAGTGGAATCATGCATCCTTTGTCATTTTTTGTCTTGTATGTTTCACTTGGCATGATGTTTTCAAGGTTCATCCATGTTGTAGCATGTGTCAGAATTTTATACCTTTTTATGGCTGAATAATATTCCACTGTTACTTATATACCAATTTTGTTTATCCATTCATCCATCAGTGGAAATGTGGGTTATTTCCATCTTTTGGCTGTTGTAATTAATGCTACTATGAACATTAGTGTACAAGTACCTGAGTCCCTGCTTTCAGTTCTTTTGGGTATTTACCAGGAAGTGGATCATATGATAATTCTATGTTTCACTTATTGAGAAATGAGTGAACTATCTTCCAAAGCAGCTCATCTGATTTTAAAATTAAAAATGGTGATTTTTTTTTTAAAAGAAAGAATATTTTGAATATTTTTAAATTCCTTTTTGTAGCCAGTTAACAGAAGGAGACAGAAAGTAGGAAAAGAAGCTTGGCAAGGAAGGAGACAGATAGTCATATAAAGGAAGAGCAGCATTTGGAGATAGGGAGAAAAATATGTACATTCAAAGATAGGTATGAAAGAGACAGAGGAAGAGAAGAAAAAATCCCAGAAGTTTCTAATAACTTAATCATAGTAAGTTAATAACTTAATCATAGTAACATTATTTCATTGAAAAGAGATCAGTTTAAATCAAAACACAACCATGAGTTTTTAATTATATTAGAATGGTAGGGATTATGGTTGGTTTGTTTCCTTTTCCTGTTTTTCACACTTTTTGCAGTGTTGGACATGTTACTTATATAATTACAGTAAATATTAAAAAATAAAAATGCAAACAGCCAAACTTAGTAGCTTGTGCATGTTACAACAAAATGTACTTAAAATGTCTTAAAATTTTTGTTTCTGTAGATCTGGTGTCATTGTTAAAAGGGATGCAGATTCTTGAATGTGTTGGTATCATTATTAAATCTTACTATTTCAACTTTAAATAACAATGCCTATGATTGAAATAAAATAAGAATAATTTCTTTTTTATTTTTCTTAGCATTGTTACACCATTAACAATGGATATGTATGCCTGGACCAGAGAACAAGCTGTGTTATATGATGGCATAATACTTGCTGCTCTTGGAGTTGAGGCAGTTATTATTTTCATGGGGATAAAATTACTTTCCCAAAAGTAGGTTATTTGTCTTTGGTTTTATTTCAAGTCTTTTTTTTTTTTTTTAAAGTGAAACATGAAACAGAGCTAACGATGTAAATGAATATATTAGTAAAATAATATAAAGCTTTTCTGTCTGGGCTTCCCTGGTGGCGCAGTGGTTGAGAGTCTGCCTGCCGATGCAGGGGACACGGGTTCGTGCCGCGGTCCGGGAAGATCCCACATGCCGTGGAGCGGCTGGGCCTGTGAGCCATGGCCGCTGAGCCTGCGCGTCCGGAGCCTGTGCTCCGCAATGGGAGAGGCCACAACAGTGAGAGGCCCGCGTACCGCAAAAAAAAAAAAAAAAAAAAAAAAAAAAAAAAGCTTTTCTGTCATTATGCATGAGTTTTAGTCCTTGAATGTTTGCAAACAGATTTAAAATTTATTAAGGGAGCATATTTCTGTACCATGTAGTATATTCTTTGGTAAAGCAAGATATTTTACAAAGTGAATAATTGTCTTCTAATGTATCTTTTGTATATTATGTTTTATCTAAAGTATTTCTATAAGCGTATTTCATAAAACATTGTTCTGCTGTGAAAGATTAATGGTTAAGTGTGGAAAATTCTGATTAAAATCACGAAACTTCTTTAAAACTTCTAAATCTTCAGTATATATACTATATCACCTTCATGGCAAGAGTACATAGCATTTCTCAAAGTTTTTTGTAACTTTGATCACAGAACACTTTTTTAAAGAAGCATTTTGTAAAAGTATAACTGTAAAGAACACACTAAGGAAAATACTTATATAAAATTAAGTTCATTCATATAGTCTGGAGTGGAACATTAGTTGATAAATTTAGACAGTTCTAACGATTTAATTATTCCTAAAATATTTTAACAATACTTTAGAACTTTAATAAAGTTCTAAAATCAATTAACAAATATTGAGTCAGTGCGTAGGGTTAGGTGTTATGGGGAATAGTATGAAGATTCCTATCCTTATAGAGCCAAGTAGAGGGGCCAAGATATAGACATAGATTCATATTCAAAGTTAAATAATAGTACATGCATTACATCTTGCTACAGATGTAGAGTGGTCCTGCTGATAGGCATTCTTACAGATTATCTAATTTCATGTCCTTCAAAGAGCTTGTATTCTACTGGGGGGAAAGCTAATAAACACAAATGTGAAATCAGGTCATGGGAAGTACTATGAAGAATAGAGCAGAGGAAGAGAATAAAAAGTGGCAAGGCAGGGTTGGGAGAGAGGGGAAGTGTTGTTTTGATTGACTGCTCATGGAGGGCAGCTCAAGCGGAAGTTACATCCAAGCAGAGACCTCAGTGAAGTCAGAGAACAGGCATGCAGTGGCCTGGAACTCTCTTGCCCCAGAAGACTGAGCTTCGTACGTTTAAGGAACAGCAGAAAGGCCATTTTGGCCAGAGAAGAATGAGAGAAATGGCAAATGGGAGAATATCAGGTTGGAAAGATGTGAAGCCTTGTAGGTATTCTGAGGGTAATGGGAGGTGTTGGGTTTGTTTGTTTTGTTTTAGGAATCTTTGATCTTGTTTGTATATTTCATTTTAAAAATTAATTAATTAGTTAATCCGTTCATTCTTGGCTGTGTTGGGTTCTTGTCACTGCACACAGGCTCTCTCCAGTTGTGGTGAGGGGGGGTCACTTCTTGCCACGGTGTGCGGGCCTCTCATTGCAGTGGCCTCTCCCGTTGCGGAGCAAGTATTCCAGGCGTGTGGGCTTCGGTAGTTGTGGCACGCAGGCTCAGCAGTTGTGGCTCACAGGCTCAGCTGCTCCACAGCATGTGGGATCCTCCCGGACCAGGGATTGAACCCACGTCCCCTGCATTGGCAGGCGGATTCCCAACCACTGCGCCACCAGGGAGGTCCCTGTATATTTCATTTTTTGTTATGGAAAATTTCAAACATATACAAAGGTATAGAGAGAATCATGTACTGAATGTTTAATATCTATTGCCTAGCTTCAACAATTATAACCTTGGACAATCTTGATTCATCTATACCTCCACCTACTCCACACTGCCTATCCCCTACACCTGGATTATTTTGAAGCTGATGTTAGACATCATTTCATGTCTTCCATAAATATTTCAGTATGTATCTCTAAAAGTTAATGATGACAGCATTATCACATCTAAAAAAATTAACAGTGATTTCTAAATATCAGCAAATATCCAGGGAGTATTCAAATTTTCTCCACTGTCTCAAATTTTTAAAAAAATTTGTTTTGTTTTATATTGTTTTATTTCACAGCTTACTCACTTGACTCAGGCTCTTACATTTCTTAAGTCTCTTTTAATCTCTAAGTTTCTTTTCCATCTCTCCCATCTCTCTCTTTTTCTCCCTTACAAATTGAAGCAACCAAGATGTTTGCCCTATAGTTTCCCACATTTTGGATCTTGCTGAATAAATCCCTGTGGTGTCTTTGTTTGTTTTTTAATATTTTCCTGTGTTTACTATATTTCTTGAAAATTGGTACTTAGATCTAGAAGCTTGATGAGATTTGAGTTCAGTTTTTTGACAAGAATGTTTTATAGGTGGTGGTATGTGCTTACATCAGGAGAAATGTAAAGTTTTGTTTATCTCTTTTTATGACGTAAGTGGCCATTGACCATTCCTTAGATCCATTAATTTATTAATAGATCAATGCAAAATGCTGGTATTTTAATTCTATCATTCCTTTATTTATTTGCTGGAACACTTTCTATAAAGAGAACTTTTCCATCACTACCTATTTGGTTATCCTGAGGTACAGTTTTTGTAGGAGAGACAGGGTGATCCTTTCCTTTTATTGACTGATTTTTAAAATAATGAGTGGGTTCCCTAGCATCCTTTAAAAATGACCAAGAGTATTTTATTTTAATATAGTATGAATTTATAAATAACATTTTTATGTGTTTCAAGCCATTGTCATTACTGTTCTTTTTGGTGTTCACATTGTCATGTTTTTAGCCAGCTTCCTCAGATTGGCTATGAGTCCTTTTTTTTGGTGGGGGGCCACGCCATGAGGTCTGCAGGATCTTAGTTCCTTGACCAGGGATCGAAACTGTGCCCCCTGCAGTAGAAGCTCACAGCCCTAACCACTGGACCTCCAGGGAATTCCCTCTGAGTCCTTCTAATCATGACCTAGTAGTCACTGGTAATTTCTTTTCTTTCTGGGATGATACGATGTCCAGGCTCATCTTATATATTTTCTATCCCAGACCTGATATAAGCCAGTTTTCAGAGGAGTCCTGGTTCCTTTTAGTGGGAAATTATATTTTGCATTCGTTTTAATTAGTATATCACTAAAAGTATCAAGATATTATTTTATTTATAGTTTTAAAAATTCTAAAAGTAATGAAGCTATGTTATAATACAATGTTTCATTTTTTAATTACAGTTTCTGTCCTTTAACAGGGTTGGCGAGCGTGCTATTCTACTGGGAGGACTCATTGTTGTATGGGTTGGCTTCTTTATCTTGTTACCTTGGGGACATCAGTTTCCCAAAATACAGTGGGAAGGTATAGCTATACATAATTCTATAAAGTTAACCCCTGTTATTCATTTAAATTAACAAATAATACACTGTACTGATTTTGTTCTTACAGATTTACATAATAATTCAATCCCTAATACCACATTTGGAGAAATAATTATTACTCTTTGGAAGATTCCAAGAGAAGATCACAATGAAGGACCAACTGGTTGCCCAGTTGAACAAGCCTGGTGCCTCTACACCCCCATGATCCATCTGGCCCAGTTCCTCACATCAGCTGTGCTAATTGGAATAGGCTATCCATCCTGCAATGTTATGTCATATACATTATATTCAAAAATTCTGGGACCAAAACCTCAGGTGAGTCAGCTAGCATGACACTGCAATTGCGTGAGGTATACTTGTAAGCACTCACAATTTTTGCGACCATTCTGTATTTTTTTGTTTTGTTTTTGGCTGTGTTGGGTCTTTGTTGCGTGGGCTTTCTCTAGTTGCTGCGAGCGGGGGCTACTCTTCGTTGCGGTGCGTGGGCTTCTCACTGGGTGGCTTCTCCTGTTGTGGAGCATGGGCTCCAGGTGCTCAGGCTCAGTAGTTGTGGCTCACGGGCTCTAGAGCACAGGCTCAGTAGTTGCGGCACACGGGCTTAGTTGCTCCGCGGCACGTGGGATCTCCCGGGACCAGGGCTCGAACCTGTGTCCCCTGCATTGGCAGGCAGATTCTTAACCACTGTGCCACCAGGGAAGTCCCTGTAATCTGCTTTTTAAAAGAAATATAACAATATGCTGTAAATATTCTCCCATGACATTTAATTTTCTTTTAGGGAATTATTTTTAATGGAGACATATTCCATCTTATGTATGTACCATCATTTATTCAGTCATTTTCCTATTATTATATATTTAGCTTATTTCCAGGTTTTACTTCTGACTTTTCTTTTTAGTAGCAGTTATTTAAATGGCAACAAAATGAAAATAGTATCTTGTTCTTTATAAAAATTAAATTGATAGTTTTACATTTTCAAGGTAGAAATTAGTGTTAATTAAAATAAAGCAAAGAGAAAAAAAATTTTAACATCAGTGTTTTAAAGCTATAATAACAGGTAAAACATTTTGGTAATTTCTGGGTTTTTTAATCTCTAAAGTTATATTTTCACATTTTCAAAATCAAGAATAAAAGCATATTAATTACAAAATAATACATGATGGTTGTAACAAAATTCAAGTAATTTGAAATGTATATAGCAGAAAAGGAAGGCTCTCCTTACCTCCATCACACTAAAGTCAACCACTGTTTACTTCATTTGTACACGTCATGATATTTTTTATGCCTTTTCAAACATATCCACCCTCATGCCTTTTTAAAAAAAGATAAAATGAATTATATCTCATGTATATAAACCTTTTTTACATCTTGGATTTTTTTTCCCCTTAACATACCGTGGCCTTCTTTCCATGTCAATGTGTATAGAGATGTTATTCTTGTTATAAGATCTTATTCTGTATAAGACCATATTCTTTTTTTTCTTTCTTTTTTTTTTTTTTGCGTTACGCGGGCCTCTCACTGTTGTGGCCTCTCCCGTTTCGGAGCACAGGCTCCGGATGCGCAGGCTCAGCGGCCATGGCTCACGGGCCCAGCCGCTCCGCGGGCATGTGGGATCTTCCCGGACCGGGGCAGGAACCCGTGTCCCCTGCATCAGCAGGCGGACTCTCAACCACTGCGCCACCCAAGGGAAGCCCAAGACCATATTCTTTTAAGCAACTATTTAGCATTCCATTTATTAAATGTACCATAGTTTATTTACTTAATCCATGCTTGACAGGTTATTTACAGTTGGAGGATATTAAAAGTAATGCTGCATTGCACATTCTTGCATATATTGTATGGGCTATAGTTTTGGATACAGTAGTTGGAGCAGTGACACTGTGGTATAGTGGAAATTAATACAGTGGAGTCAGCCAAACAGGGCTTCATATCTCTTGGATAAGTTACTTGAATTTTCTGAGCTTTAGCTTCCACATTTGTTAAGTGGGGATAATACCAATCATAGAAATTTGTGAACGTTGGAAACAATATATGTAAAGCACCTGACACAGTGTCTGGAAAATAGCAAGTACAGAATAAATGGTAGCCTTAAAAAGTAAATTTATGAATCATTTCAGCAGACAGTGCTTGTTCTTTTACACTTTTATTTTCCTAAACAGTGTATCAAATAAGTTTATTGCTCAGTATTTGCTGTATTTATAGAGAGGTACTTTAATTTAAAAATAACAGATGGAGGAAGTGATTCTCATGTTTGTCATAGTTTGGTAATATTAGCGTCATCCTTGCTTTTAAAATAACTACACCTGAGTATCAGTCTGCTTCTCCCCCAACAGGGTATGTACATGGGCTGGTTAACAGCGTCTGGAAGTGCAGCACGGATTCTTGGACCTGTCTTCATCAGCGAAGTGTACGCTGCCTGGGGTCCACGATGGGCTTTCAGCCTTGTGTGTGGAGTGGTGTTGCTCACCATCACACTCCTGGGTGTGGTTTACAGAAGACTCATTGCTTTTTCTGTAAGGCATGGAAGGATTCAAGAATAACCTAGCTAAGACTGTGGTGGAAAGTACTTGCTGTGTGGAACTTTCTCTTTTAAGGCTCTGCTAGACGATTGCTAAGAGTCAGTTTCCTAAAGTCAGGTTGTAGATATTGCATATGTTGAATAACAAGAACATATATTGAATAAAATAGGGACTTCTATGTGTAATTATGAATAGCAAGATAATATAAAAATTCTGGATCATAGTTTCCTTATCTCAAAAAAGAAATAGTCTTCATATGACATTTTTTGGGGGGTGGCATAAAGTCATGGACAATGGTCTATAAATGTGAAGTTATACTCTTAAGTCAAACTGCAGAGGCGTCATTAAAATAACAAGAGAATATTATGCAGTGAAATCATAAGGAGAGTTCTGTGTGAATTACCTGTAATAGAATGAAATTATAGAAATTTTTTACCTAATAGAGGTACTTTTATTCATAGCTATCTCCTTTTTATTTATTAAAAAATGCATTTTCTGTTATTATAAAGTTTTCCTTATGTAAAATCATGACTTAAATTTTATACTTACCATGCCTGCCATCCTCCCTTAGCTTCTATAAGTCATGATTTTTAACACTACACTTTCCGTCTTATTTTAGTTCAGGATCTTACTAATTAACCCCTAAGTTAATGGATGTGTATGAATAATGCTCATATTTGAGCAATAAAGAGGATTAAGAGATTAAGATGGATTTTGCTACCTGTAGTACAGATAACTACTTTTTTCTTTCAAGTCCTAATAAATAATTCACTTTAGAAACATAAGCCAGATATGTGTTATTGTATACATATACTGAACAGCAAACTGTTAAAATTATTGACATTTTCTAATTCCCTTAAATTCTAGAGAAAAACTATTACCTTATTTATTTTTTCTCTCTCAGTAGTGGTAGGGAAGACCCAATGGTTTTCAATCTGTGTCTGCATAGCTACTCAGAACTGCAGAATTTTAAATTTAGATAGGCCCAACAGCCCCAATATAGGCAGGCTAATAAATCTGAGGTAAAATAGCTGTAATCTAACAGTTTACCGAGTTTACTAGAAATTGGCTAAATCACATTATGTATACTTTACTACCTCACATAAGTTGAATGCTGCTAAAGGGGACTAGTACAGAACTATCTATATGGATAATCAGTATTACCCAAAAATGCAAAAATATTTCTAAATACTTTTCCAAATGTTTCCTACTCTAAGTTATAAATATTTCAAATCTAAGAGTAAACACTATAATTTGCACTTTATGTTGTTTGTTGTACTTTTTTTTGAGGGGGGTGGCTTGAATAACAAAAATTTATTTTTCATAGTTCTGGAAGCTAGAAGGCTTGAGATCAAGGTGTCAGCAGGGTTGGCTTTTTCTGAGGCCTCTCCTTGGTTTGTAGATGGTTATCTTTTCCCTTTGTCATTTGTTTTTTTCCAGCTTCATGGAGATATAATTGACATATGACATTGTATACGTTTAAGGTGTATAACATATTGACTTGATACTTACATATTGCAAAATGATTACCACCATAGCATTAGGTAACACCTCCATCATATCACATAATTACCGTTTCTTTTTTCGTGGTGTGAACATTTAAGATCTATCTACTCTCTTAGCAACTTTTAACTATATAATACAGTGTTATTAACTATAATCACCATGCAGTACCATAGATCCATAGATCCCTAGAACTTACTCATCTTATAACAGGAAGTTTGTACTCTTTGACCAACATCTCCCCATTTCCTTCACAGCCTAGCCCCTGGCAACTGCCATTCCACTCTCTGCCTCTAATAGTTTGTCTCTTTTAGATTCCACATACAAGTCATATCATATAGTATTTGTCCCTCTCTTTCTGACTTACTTCACTTAGCATAATGCCCTCAGGGTCCATCCATCTTGTCAGAAATGGCAGGGTCTCCTTTCTTATGGCCGAATAATATTCATACACACACACTTACTTACATTTTCCTTATCCATTCATCTGTTGTTGGACAGCTAGGTTGTGCATCATATCTTGGCTGTTGTGAATAATGCTGCAATGGACATGAGAGTGCAGATAGCTCTTCGAGATCCTGCCTTCATCTTCTTTGGATATATACCCAGAAGTGGAATTGCTGGATCACATGGTAGTTCTTAATTTTTTGAGGACCCTCTCTACTGTTTTCCATGGTGGCTACACCAATTTACATTCCTATCAGCAGGACATGAGGATTCCCTTTCTCTACATACTTGCAAACAGTTGTTATATTTATCTTTTTGATAGCCATTTTAACTGGCCTGAGGTGATATATTTCATCGTGTACCTCTGTTTGACTTTACTTTTAGGCATTCTCCATTTTGTGGCTTGTCTTGCCAAAAGGACCTGGGAATCAAAGGGACTTATACTAGCCAAAAATGGGACAATTAAAGCATTGAGAAGAATAATATCTGCAGCCAGTTTAAACACATCGAATGTGTGAAAATCTGTGAGTTCATAATGATATTAAAAGTAAGAAGCACACTGGTCACCTTTGGAGGTCGCTAGGGCTTTAACTCTTTACTCTAAAAACCAGGAAGTAAAGACTTAAGCTTCTCTTCTGCCTTTCCTGTATCTAAACTTCAGGGTAATAAAATATTGATGTGGGAAAGTTATTTCCTATAGAGTAATCCAAGCTAATAAATACAAGGGAATAATAGAATTAGAAAAAAACCCATCTAGCATCCTTTAGTGAAATAATATTATAGATATGGGCACCATTCATCAGTGAATGATAAAACTACTGAGGTGGAAGATTACTGAGGAACTTTCCAAAGGATGGATGAAGCCGACAACACCTGAACGCACTGATCACTCTTAACATCATTAAAAGTGGGTAAGCGTTACGTGCCTCCTGATTTGATGCAGCAAGTACTCAGCACCACCTATGAAAGTGTTCCTGCCAAAAAACTGAGTCAGAATCTAATCAAGCCTGTAGATGTAAACTACGAGTTTACAGGAAATACGAAAGATACAACTAAAAGCCACCTCTAGGAAGTAATCATCTAAGCCCAGAAGATGATATATTCTATAGACAAATGGTCCAGTTTCTTAAAATTAAAAAAAAAATGCTGTGGAAAAAATAAAAGTTGAGAGATCAGCAGTCATAGATGAAAAGAAACTTCAGAGATATATAAATCAAATGCATTATATAGATCTTATTTTGGATCTTGTTTTAAGTCAAATGTAAAAGGGTATTTTTGAGGTAATGAGAAATTTGAAACTGGACTCACCATTAAATGATATTAAGGAATTACTCTTAATTCTGAGATGTGTGTTATTGGTTATGCTTTTAAAAGCTCCTTATCTGTTAAAGGTACTAAAGAATTTATGATAGAAATTATATGATTTCTGGGATTTGCCTCAAAATACTCCAGTGGAGGAAGGATATCAGTAAGAGAGATGAAACAGGATTGGCAAAATATTTGTTGAAGTTGGGTGGGAGACACATGGAGGTTCCTTATCCTGGTATATCTGTACTTCTGTGTGTTTTTAAATTTCCACAATTAATTTAACGTAAGTTAATAACAATCAGCTGTGTATTTTAGAATGAGCTGGCTGCAGTGTGAAGTATGAATTGGAATGGATGTGGAGGACATTGATCATGTATGTGAGCACTCTTCATTTCCTGCAGACCCTTCTACATTTGGAGAATTTCTCACATTGAGCCTCTCCTTTTAGAAGCCAAAATGCATTCGTTCTCTCTACCTTTGCAGCCAAGCCATGAGCTTGTGTTTCTGGCCCTGCCAGTACACTCCTCCAATGTGAAACTTCATAAGGACTGAGCAAAAAGAGGAAGTGAGCAACATAAGCAAAACTGACTTTAGTGAGGGAGCAAGGTCAGTGGCTAAATTCTGGAGAAAGTAGTCAGAGCTCCCAGAACCTAGCCCCCTAGCTTCATCAGCATGGCTGTGGGATCTGTGCTGAGCAGGGTTGTTAGGATGTCTTCTTCTGGGGAAGCTCCTACATTGTGATTCAGCCATTGCTTTTAGCTGCAAAGCCTGAATCTCTTTCCC